CAAAAGCAGAAAGCCCATGTTCCTACTAGTGCCTAACCAACTTGTACCTAACTATTTCGATGTTTTCTCCCATACACGTCGTCGCCACATCGCGAGTTCTTGCTACTGCCCTGCTCTTGTTGTTGTCGTTTCACCAACACCCAATACGAAATTCTTGTCCAAGACTACACATTTTTCTGTTTTCCTTGCACCTTCAAGCTTTTTTTTTCTCTGCCTGTAGGATTACTCAGTACGTCAATTTGGCGACCTGTCTCGTGAATTGCCATGTCTTCAAACTATTCCCCGCGGACCTGCAGGAGGTGAGAGAGTGCTAGTAGTAGCCTGTTGTCTTTTCAATTACGCATATGTGCGTATATGTTCTTGTTGCTTGCCAATGTACCTGTCTCTTACTCATCTCCCTCTCCCCCTTGTCTTTGTAGCATATTCTCACGGCAGAAGCTCTCTACAAGGGTTACCAGCGTTCCACGCATCCCCACATGGCTGGCTCCCAGTCGGCGAAGGTGGGTTTTTCTCAGTTGTTTTTCTCCTGTCCATGTCAAATTATTTTGCGATCGAAAAATGCTTGTTCGGCCCGTTGACCCCACCTTTGTGGTCTGGTGTGATCTTCACGGACTCCAGTAGCCACAGAGATGCAATGTGCACACTCGATCATGTATCCGCTCACTTGTCTCTCAATTTGATGTATACGCCTTATTTTGAAAATATAATTCCAGAATTTTCCGGACGATGCCTTATGCTCGAAAACTGCAACCGCCACTGCCATGAACAATTCTTTCTTCAAAACGCAGCTAGCGTAGTGCGCAGATGACCTCATTATTATAGTTCAAATAAATGAAGTGGAGTAAAAAATTAGTATATACCGAGCAAAAGAGGCCAACCGGGTGTACTTTTAGGAAAATTTCCTTGTATGTCAAGAGCAGAAAAAAGGGCGGCTTGGTGTCAGAAATCCTGCCTGCATAAACCATTAGCAGTTTTCCCTACTTCTCCCAACCCCAGCGGAGAAAGGTAGTTGATAGGCCAACTTCCGCTAAGGGATTTGTCGTGAAGGCAGGACAAAACAAAACTTCATTGGCCTTTTCTGAATCGCATGGCTGCCTTTTA